CCTTCTCCTTTCTGCCCATTCCTCACCCACCCATCAACTCCTCCTGGTGCTCAGCCCCCAGCCTTCTCCTTTCTGCCCATTCCTCACCCACCCATCAACTCCTCCTTCTGGTGCTCAGCCCCCAACATTCTCCTTTCTGCCCATTCCTCACCCACCCAACCCCGCACAGCGAAGATCCGCCTTCATGGGAGAGCAGAGGAAGATGAAGATGTGCTCAGAGATGGGTAACAGCCTGGGCAGGGATCCGAGGGCACCGAGGCTGTTGCCTGGAATTGCCACGTTGCTGGGGGCTTGTTGGGGGGCTCTGACACTGCGTCCCCAATGCTGCCAGCACAGCTCTGGGTGCTTTATCCCAGTGCACAGAGCCGGAGTTCTGCAGAGTTTGGGGAAGCTGTGAGCTCTCAGCTGCTTCAAAACCTCCACGAAGCCACGCACAGGGCTGGGAGCCACCCAGGAAGGGTGCTGGGGAGGGGGGGCGAGCGGGTGGGCATGGCACCCATGGGACCCCATCGCCTTCTGCTCCCCTCCTCCAGGCGGAGACGGCGGCGAACCGCATCTGCAAAGTGCTGGCGGTCAACCAGGAGAACGAGCACCTGATGGAGGACTATGAGAAGCTCGCCTCTGATGTAAGCTTTGGGGGGCAACCCCCACCTCCTCCTCCTTAAACCCAGCACCTCCCCACCGTGCTGCTCCCTGAACCCCCAACCCCAAACCTTTGCAACCCGCAGCTCCTGGAATGGATCCGGCGCACCATCCCTTGGCTGGAGGACCGAAGCCCCCAAAAAACCATTCAGGAGATGCAGCAGAAGCTGGAAGATTTCCGTGATTACCGGCGTGTCCACAAACCCCCCAAAGTTCAGGAGAAATGCCAGCTGGAAATCAACTTCAACACACTGCAGACCAAACTGAGGCTCAGCAACCGGCCAGCCTTCATGCCCTCCGAGGGGAGGATGGTGTCGGTGAGCAGAGCTGGGGGAAACCGTGGCATGGGGGGGGGTGTGGGGTGATGCTCCTGGTGGCTGAGGACCCCCAGACCCTCCCCATGGGGAAGCTGGGTGCAAGGGGAGAGCCAGACCTGCTCCAGTGCCCCCAGACCCTCCCCAGGGGGAGACTGAATGTAAGAAGAGAGCCAGACCCTCTCCCAATGCCTCCAGACCCTCCCCAGGGGGAAGCTGGATGTAAGGAGGAGAGGCAGACCCTCTCCCAGAGCCCCCAGACCCCATGGGGAAGCTGGATGTAAGAAGAGAGG